TTTATTTAGACAAGATCAAACGAGGCTGCGCTGCGTTGCCTTATATTTCGAACACATCACGAAAATGCAGTTACAACGACATACGTGTATCTCTAGTGAGATACATGTATGTGGTGTGATAGCATCATTTGTTGTGGTATGCGATATATATATTAAGGAATCCCCCCCCCCCAGCCCAGCACCGCATGATGACACAAAACACAACATTAAAATTAAGAAACGCGCCGCATTTATTTTCGCTATGTACAACCCACGTATTGAAAACAAACGCGTCGCAATGTTGCTGGAACAACATTATTATCTACAGTAGAAGCGAATGTAACGTTTGCCATCGTGGACTAAAGTTTATTACGTAACGTATTGTGTTAAATCCTGGGCATAAAGATCAAACGCCTTCCCTAAGGCCAACACAGATTAGACACCTCGAGAATACGGGATAAAATACTAAAAATGTATGTGGCAGAGGCTATTGGGAAAATATCATCAGCAATATCATTATCAGAATCCATTTAAATTAAGAGGTTAAGATATCAGTAGTATAACACTAGTCATATTTTCTCCAAGGAAATCTTATTTTTGACAGGCAGACTATTGAAAGCCTTTTTTATAGAAAAACGTAATATAAAAAAGGAAAAGATTTGGACGATTAAGTATAGACTGACTGACATCTTTAGATATATATATATAATTGAAATTAAAGATGGCAAAATAAAACTACATTTTTATGCTAACGTTTTCACCGCGATAGCGGCTCTTCAAGCATTTTTTCTAAATATTTACATTGATCGGGAATCTTTATTAAAACAGTAGTAAGATAAACGATTCCCCCATACGGCCGCTCTATTTACTTGTAGACAGGGTAGACTTGGGCCGATTTGGCGTTAAATTATCGTCACCGTCAGCTTGAGAGCAGCGGAATGGCGAGGGGGGGGGGGGGACTGTTATGTTATTAAAGCATATCTTGTCTCTAGAGTTATTTTCCTTCATAGACAATGTGACAGTGGTTGCTGGGCGGTATATTTACACAACGTGATGTCAGAATATGTAAGTCTGTATGAAGTAAAAAAATAATCGCAAAAAAACAAAACAAAAGAAAACAAAAAATAGGTGGTCGGGTTATCCTAAATCGCAAAAAAAAAAACAAAACAAAAAATAAGTGGTCGGGTTATCCTAAACAGACTTATTAGGTAATGTTCAGAATAGTCAGAACAATAATGACAGTAGTTTCATAAAGGAAGCCAACAATTCCTTGAAACCAGTGTTCAATGACAAATCAGATACGTTGGCATTTGGGTCTTTTTTTTTAGTTATCATTTATTAATGAGTGTTGCATTTACCTATGGAATGGGTGAGTTCCCATTAACAATACCAGATCAATATGACATATTACTTATAAAATGAATATCAAGTTCCACAGAGAGAAATTAATATCCTACTTGAAAATCGATGACAAGACACTATCACTCGTTATTATCACCCATGCTTAACTTTTGTATTTTATAGCGCTTCATAATACATCTGTTGTTGTTCCTTTTGTAAGGGTTATTTCCCTAGGGTTTGTTAGTTTGGTTGGCGAACTACATTAGATTCTGTCGGCGCGATGTCAGTTTATATGTATTGTTATGCCGTTTTCTCTTTATCATTATTTTGGAAAATTCAGACGGCAATTAATTATATAGACCAACAAAAACATTAACCCAGGTCCAAGCTAATGTTCCATTTAGCCATACGTCGCACCAACCAGGGTACGTCTCATTAGAGTTAGTGTACAAGCTATGGTGTCCCCCATTGCCCTGCCCTCCACCGCTGCAGGGCAATGTAATTCTTTGTTTATGGCTTAGGATTCCATCATCTAATATGTAGATGTTCTAGAGGCGAATAGGGAAGAAAACCTGACTCATTTGAAGGATTTATTGCATTTGTGTACCTATAGTCCTTTCCAACAGTTGTTTTCCCTTGAGATCAATATTTTATGTGAAAACTGTATTGCCGCCACTGCTATATTATGCACCTCTCCTGTAAATAATCCACAGGTCCAAGTTTATCGCATTTTTGAAGTAGCTGGATGACATGTCTTATGACGTCATTGTCCGTGTTATCCAAAGTTATTGTAAATACACTTCAGGTCACAGGTTTATTTGGGTTTTTTTTAAAAATTGAGAAAGATTTTTGAAAATATTTTTCAAGCGCGCTTGGGTTGTTCAAATAGTGATAAAAATTCAATTTTATACGCAGGTATTATTCTTGGCACCGAATTATTTTAAACACTCTAAAGGTAATGTTTTTTTAAGATTTTGTTTTCAAGCATCCTATGATTTAAAAAAAGTATTTATTCAGAATTCTTATATACAACGATGAAGAGAATAATATGAATAAATTGGATACAGTAACAAGCAACTTAATGCTTATATAAAACTACTTCCAGAAAAGGGTGATATGAATATAAATTTTAAAAGATCAGCTGGCAATGTAATAAAATAAGAATTATTATCTATATTAGGGTTTTAGTAAATGATGGTATGAAGAAAGGGTGCTAAGTAAGAAATAAAAAAAAAATCAAATAAAGGAAGAAAAAGAAAAATGAAGAGTAACATGAGGACATAAATATAGGGGAGAGAGGGGATTCGATAGAGATTTGAATTAGAAAGAAGCTTGGGGCACAACGCCAGAAAACCAAAAAACCTTACACGCACCAAAAGCTAGTCAGGAATACTTTTAATATAGCAGTTATAAATGTTATTAAGTACACATTTCTCACGTGAGGCTAGGCTACCTATGGATTGTGCAAAGCGGGTTAGAATGTGATCCTTTAATTCTTTGTCAAATAGGAAACCTGTCAGAATTAAGACTGCTTTTTTTTTATTGAGATTTGGCTCCTGTGACTTACATTAGAGCATAATATATCTCTTCATGATCAGCACTGACAATGAACCTGTTGGTGGGTGTGACTTCAGTTGCTTTGTCACTGCTTTCTAAACCAAACCAAGGTAATACATATAACACATTTTATTATTGAAATTAATACATTTTCGTTATAAATCTTCTTTGATTAATATCATCAAAGTAACTCTTAAATCAAGCTGTGTACTTGGTCAAGTCAAAAGTTTTACCTTCAACGATTCGCCTTACTAATTCTAATTAGTTAATTAGGATCATTCCATGTCAAGTGGGTCAGGGGTGGGAAATCGAAAAAATCTGGAAAAATATATGCTATTGTACATGTGAAAACTAGAAACTGTGCAAAATTTGTGGTCTGTAGCTTGAAAATTGACTGCTTTACGGGCATTTGAGTTTAATGAGTTACCCATGAGTTTCCGAAACAAAATATGTATCAATAATTAAATCGAGTTTCAGATATCTTATATTTACCTTTCGAGTGAAGTTATACAGCTCCCATTTTGGTTGTCTTAGAGAAATTTTTGTGTAGATTACGAATCTGTAATCAGATTACAGGTGAGTGGTAGGGTTCGCATGCTACTTGGTCATAAAAACCTAAAAAAAACTTTGGTGTAATTGTATATTTTTTTGATTTTGTACTGCTCCAGGAGCTACAAAGTAACAGATATAGACCCAAATCTTCGCCTATCGAGAGATTGTCGGTAGCACTACATGTGAAAACGCACCAGTCTTTACTAGATTCCCAGCTTGAATATGGTTTTAGACACAAATTTTCGAAAATTGCCTCGTATGCTCGAGCCGATAGGCGAAGATTTGGGTCTATATCTGTTACTTTGTAGCTCCTGGAGCACTACAAAATCAAAAAAATATACAATTACACCAAATTGTTTTCGGTTTTCATGGCCAAGTATCATACGAATCCTACCACTCACCTGTCATCTGATTGCATCTTCGTACTCTACACACAAAGTTCTCTAACGCTGGGCTGTATATCTTTACTAGAAAGGTAAAAACAAGATATCTGAAACTCGAGTAAATTATTGATACATATATTTTTTCGAAAATTTATCGGTAACTCATGAAACTCAAATGCCCGTATAGCAGTCAATTGTTAAGCTACAGACCACAAATTTTGCACAGTTTCTAGTTTTCGCATATACAATAACATATATTTTTTTCAGAATTTTCGAGGGGTCGATTTCCCAAATTTCTGAAAATTGACCCACTTGACATGGAATAACCCATTAGTAACGTGATTTTATGTTATGATTGAGATCGTTATCCAATTACCACACTTTATAGTCGGCATACGTAGAAATGGATGCAATTATAGAAAGATATGCGTGTCTACTGCATGAAGGGAATTCAATGTAATTCACATTATCTTTGAAATGAACCATAACCAGGACATTGACAAGAAAACAAGAAAACATACATTAGCGCACGATGTTTTAGGTTTCTTGTACTCATATACTTTTAATTAAATGCACTGTTTTTGAAAAGACAATTAGCAGTCTACTTTATGCTATTTTGTTCGGTTTTAGAGCTTACCCATACCTCAATGGTCTGGGTGATAAGCATATAGTGGCATACAGTGATCTGGGCGTGATAATTTGCGATTGCAATGCGATACCTCACCCGAAGGACAGACTGATAATGACAATTTCGGAGCTGATTTCCCAATTTGCATAAGAACAATTTTCTTAAAAAACAAGTATCATGATCCAATATATGTTTATAAAATTATTTATAATAAAAGAAAATGAATTATAGAATCTGACCACCTCTTTGTTATTACATGTTCAATACTAGTATGATGTGTTTAAAATCTTAGTATAATGTCAATCGGTTGTGTCCATCAATTTACCTGACAAATGCAATTGAACAGTTTACATATTTCTAAACATTTACATCAAGGTATTTTCAATTCGAGAAAGCATATCCAAAAGTCATTATTATTACGTGTTTAACCATTATTTTATCAGAACTTTCTGTTTATCTGACTTTCACCTTTACAAATACAAACCTAGTACATTGGCTTCCAGTGGCGTCCAGAAACCTAAACCGTTAGTCATGCAACCCCAGAACATACGTAGAGAACATGCCACCAGAAAACAGGTGTACATACATACTGGTATTCTTATAGTATTCAACCGACTTGATCAGATCTACCATTTTTCATCGCTATGGGAATGGTCTGTAGAAGCGGTTACCACACGTCACGCTTTGTTACTTCGGGGTTACTCAAATATTAATGAATATCCTATCAATGTGTTGTGTGAGAGAGTATACGAGCGGCTGCGCATTTCGTTCACTGTAGTTAAGATGGTGCGGCGAATTCTCTATATCAGTCCCGAGTGATCGAAGAAAAGGCAGAAAGATTACGCCGGAATCTATTTGGCATTACGTCTGCTACTGCTCGTGAGCTCGTGTCTATATTCATCGAGCTGTTTGTGTTAATGACAGTTGACCAATGATTGCATTAAATGACCAATGGTGGACACATCTGAGACTGGACAATTCTCGTGGCAAGTAGTAATTGGAAAATGACATATAGTGACAAACGGTGGCAACGTTGCATCAGCGAGTATATGAAAGGTAGGTAATTAGTGTATACATATATATATATTTATATTGTACGCCCTGACTTAGCTGGCATGGTATTGGGAATCGCGTCTAGCGGGCATAATAAATTGGATGGGGTTATCATCGGTTCATTCAATCTTCTTTATTTGATATTGTCCATGAAGTTGTGTATCATTGGAAAATAAGTTGATTAACGGAGAAACAGTAGCCTTCACTAATTTATAGTCCCTTTAATTTTTAATACTCTGCTTTACTTTCATGTTGTCACATGCTGTCTTCTTAGTCAATTCAACACTCTTTTAACTTTTAAAAACCTCGCGGACGATATGGTCAATGACCAAACATACCGTCACAAATTAACAGGAGTTTGGGCTGCCTTAGCCCAGTTTAATTTTATTATACCTTTTCACTAAATTTTCGCTAAAAAAACAAAAAGCTTAAAAACCTTATATCTGTTTATAGCTAAATATAGAACCAAACCTGCCATTCCGACAAATATAAAAAAACGTAGTTAAAATCAGAATATAGTTTATAGTAGAAATCAATATATGGATACTAAAACTAGACCCGGCTCTGGGATAAATTGACAACTTAATATGATTTATATGCAATGTTAAGAGAACATGGAGTTTACTAAACGATTAGAATATGACAAACTGAATTTGGTAAATTTTTGACCCAGCATGTTGCAAATTCGATCGAAGGTTCAGTCAATTGCCGTCTTAAAAAATAGACCAAAATGCATGATAAAATAATTGAATGAATCTGTCATATTTGAGTAAGCTCTTTATACATCTTAATAAAGAACGCTTGTCGTATTTTATTGAGTTTTATGAAATCACCAGAATTAAATGTAGAATAATATAGCCCGATTTAAGTCATTCATATTTATTTCAACATATAACCGATTTGTTTTTCACCTTTTAAAGAAATGAAAATGAAATGAAATGGGGTTTAACGTCCTACTGTTCTGCTCCGAACTGGACTAATGAAGACGGGCATACACCATACAGTGTGCTATGAGGGAAATTTTGCCCGGACAGCGGCACTTCGGCCAACTCTTATATTAAATTCCAACTATCAAGGGATCTTTTACATGCACGCCAATGTGTACACGGGACCTCGGTTTCCCCGCCATCCGAAAGACTAGACAGCTGTCCCATTCAGGCCATCCGTCCTACATTACTGATAAGGGGGAACCACGCCGGAACATCTGGATGAACTTTCTCGGCGAATGCGGGAATCGAACACCCGACCTGCAGGCTAGCGAGCCAGCGCCTTACCCACTTAGTCACCGTGACCCCCTTGCCTTTTAAAGGTGTACTAATACAACATATAAAGTCATTCTATAAAGGTCACAAAAATTGTGCCTAACCTATTGCCACCATTTAGTTATGTCATTTTTGACAAAGAAAGATATGTCTAAATCTTCAAAATTTGTTAAAGGGCAGAATGTCTAGTGTTTCAATGACATCATGCAATTTCCAACCAGCATTTTTTTTGTTCTGTGTATAAATCATATTACATGTATATATCATTTTGTCGTCTATAAATTACATAAATGTATGCAGGTACCTATCTATAAGCACATAACATGCAGCGGGTCAACTTGTTGTTCTGGGTTTTTTATGTTCTATAATATTATTTCAGCAAGATGGTGATCTATACGTTTCTACCTTGTTCATTCCGCTTAATAGTAAGTGCAGGGGAACCGCACTACACCCAGATAAAACATATTAGAGGGATCTGCGGACAATGAGACATACAAATTACACCGACATTGCAAGCAAAAAACAACATCCGTATAGCCAATCAAGTGAATTATAATTCCTTTATTCGAACAATTTTGATAATCATAATCATTTGATAGAATTGTATCCTTGTATATAGATATTTTTACTGTGTGTCTATTTTAAACATCGAGTTATTTCTATATTTACAATACTGAAACATATACCAACCTAGCATACTGTTTTACCCATTACAACGTCCCTATATACAGATATATGCCAATTGTGTTGCCAAAATGCATGTGTTTTATTCTTGTCGTAAAACCCTCTGTAAAAACCACGCTTCAAAAAAAAAAATCAAAAAATAAACCCGTTTCTTTTAAAGGATCATTCTTCAGTATATGTAATCCTTAAATAGAAATATATTTTGTAAAATCGATAGCTCACGACATTTGAAACTGAGAAATTGACTTAAAATATTAAATGTTGACATTTTTAATAATTGTACATTAGATTAACTTAGCCCGTATATTTGTTATCTGTTACGTACATGTTGGTTCGCATTCACCACGTCTATAAGCCAGTTTCATCTGATCATTTCGGTAACCTTTGTAATGGGATTGTGCAGGGAATTTAAAGGTCTTGTTGACTCCAACCGGTTATTTTGAAAAAACTGTTCACTGGGATGCAAACATGTCTTAAGGACAGCCGAGGCGTATTTAGTTTCAAGCTCACTGTGACCCCAGATCTTCCATGAATATATTAGTCTCAAACCAAGCCCGAAATTAATATATGTACCTGACCTTATTTATTAACTTCCTTTGCCATATGTACAACATAAACTGGAATTAATGCTGCTTGTCTTACATCAAAATTGCCCAAATTTTAAAATTAAAAAGTACAATTTTGTCTGCACCGTACCCAGTCAATTTTATCTACAAATCCATGTACTATCCCAAAGATACACCTAGGTAAACATTCCAGTGAGTGAGAATCTGACTTACCAGGTGTTCATCGGGTGTTGTAATTTAGGGTAATTATTCTAGAGGTCACATCAAAAACTATTTATGGAAATTACTGATTTATTAACATGCAACATTTTGGCGATGACTCTGGAGGATACGAAATCCCTAACCAAACCACGTTTGTGAAGACTACGAATCTATTGCATTGCAGGAGACAATACCATAAAAAAAGAGTTGCGACTATCCTATTTATCGATATATGTACAGGGTATTTATTATTTTATTCATCGAATGCACCTTTAAACGTGCCTTTTCAATGTAGCATTAACCATGTATAGATTACAGTCAAATTGATGAATTTCCAATGAGTCTATATCGCCTCTCTTTCTAGCAACTAAATCTAGTTGAATCTACCTGTGGTGTTAGAACTGTGTCAGACATGCACTCTTTTAGAGATTCCATCGTTCGAGAAACAATGGCATACTACAGGAAGAAATGGGGTGGTATCTTGACGTTTTCTTTCATAAAGTACAAGTAAATTTCAAATGTAATCTAGTATAACTTGTGCCACCCTGATGTTAATTCATGTGTAAATGAAAACTAAAGAAATACTTATTACATCCCCCCCCCCCCCCCGATAAAAAAAAAGTCTCGTAAATATACTTGTAGCGTGACTGTTAAAAGTAAACCTCTTCAGAATTTCATACTTTCAGCGTTACATATTTTTTTTACTCATCCCAGCTCAATATCGTTACTTGGTTCTGTTCCCATAGGTGCATTTTACCATGTGTATGAGTAGTTTGGGGTGTATCATTGCTCTTTGATAGCCTGGAGTAGTATCATTTGATATTATAAACTGTAAGAATGAGTGGAGATTGGCAATTTTACTGAAAGTCATTACCGTTTCTCTTTGCACCCTTGGGACGCATTTGATCCTAGGTAAGATAAAACTGAAAGTTAGTTTATCAGATAACCACCTCTTCTAAAACACAAAAAAGACACAGTTTTCAATGAATATTTTAGGCTTGCTATCAATGTGCATGTTTAATGGTGTTTGCAGAAAATAAATGGATATTTAAATTAGACGCGGATGATCCAAAACATATAAGAGAGAGTTTATTTTCGACTGAAACAACAAGAATATAATAATCGCATAACTATCTGGTTGTTTGTTTTTTGTTTTTTTTTGGGGGGGGGGGGGGTGGCGGGGGGGGGGGGGGTGTTTATCTGATGTTTAGTTGAAATCATTATGCCAATATACTGTGACTAGGGGTGGGCTTTTTTGCCAGAGTTAGGTATTGTTAGGAAGTAAGTGCATTACGTGCATTCTACAATGGATGACTTCAATCAATTGCACCGTCAAAAGTTCATCAATTATTTGTTGTCTCGGGTGCATCGAATTGCAAAGCAATCGAGGGCATGATTTTAAAAAGATATTAGTTATGGTTTAATTCAATATCCAAACTAGAACAGACATTAGGCTGTCCTTGATGAGATCTAAAAAAAATTCACTAAAAATAGAATTTGTGGGCAGGCAATCAACACTGTAACACCTTCCCTGGCCTGTTTCATAAAGTAATATTCTGAAACAATTACATTTATACGGATCAATCGCAGCTAATTTAATTAGGATTCGCTTTGAAAATCGGCCATTTCCATGTTGATGATAAAGATTGGTGATAATCTAGTATTGGCGTGTTAGGTCTGTTTGCCGAGCTCATTGTTTCCTGGTTTATAGGTTTCAATGTTTCCGATCTAGGTTTTTCTTTACATCCTTAAAGGTACACAACCGTATAAATCCTACACATCTTCAGATTAATTAAGGAACTGATTAGATTGATAAATTAATATGGACAAGTGTTGGGATTATAGCAATAATAAAGCATGGAGGAAATAAAAGGCCGCCATTCAGAGTAATTTACGCCCCATTCGTTCAGTCAGTTGAATAAGTACCCGCGCATTACGGAGCAGGTACCGAGCATAATGCTATCGCCGCCATCTTGGATTTAAGATCTCATATCATGTCGATCGGTTTGGAATTAGCGGAGCCTAGACGTTTTTCAAAGAATGTCGCCCCTAGAACAAGATGTGTAGCGCGTGGGACCCAGTTCCTGCAGTAAAAAAAAACCAAACCAAACAAAACATACCGTCTAATTGCTCAAATTTTCAATTCTCTTTAATATAAGGTATCACAAAGAAACGAATTATTGAAATCATTAAAAACATATATTATGTTAGTCCTGAAATAACATAGTTTGTGTTGAGTAGACGTTAAAACCTATTTTGTCTCGCCTTTAATAATAGGTTACCGTTGCTG